ACAATATCAAGAATATCATATAGGAAGAAAGCAAAATGTCATCAAAAAGAAAGGAAAGAAGAAAAGACAAAAATAGACGTTAGAAGACTCTGAAATTTGTTCTACAGTTTAGAGGTGTTAAAGTGATGGGAAGAAATGAGGAAGTAAAAGAGCCAAACAGGTCAGCTCCAAAAGACAAAGTCAAGTATTATAATGAAATGTACAAAGATCTGGAGTTGGAAAACCAAAGGGAAGAATACTCAGCATTTCTCAAGCTGAAAGAATTGAATAAAAGTTCAAGCCTTAACTTGCAATACAGAAGGATTCTATGGACAAAATACTGAATGATGCAGAAAGCATCAAAAAAAAAAAAAGAAGAAGATGGAAGGTATACAGAGTCCCTGTACCAAAAAGAAATGGTTGATGTACAATCATTTCAAGAACTGATGGTATTGAAGGAAGAAGTCCAAGCAGCACTGAAGACATTGACAAAACACAAGGCACCAGGAATAGACGGAAGACACAGCTTGAAAATTTTCACCAAACTGATGAAGCACTGGAGGCACTCATTTTCAATCTCTGTCCTCCCACCCCCCTTTTCACACTCAACACCATTTCCCCAAGTGCTTACTATTCAATTCTTCTAGAATGAGTTACCATTATATCAAACTCAACCTATCCACATTTACTTTAATGGAGAAACCAGTTTACATAGATTCAGAACACTTAACCCAACATTTTCATAGTGTAAGTGATGAAACTGAGGTTCAAGGAAGTTCATTTCTTAATGTCACTTAGCTCAGTAATAGCACATAAAGGTCAACTAAGAGCAGGAGTTCTGCCCATCCAGTGTAGGGAGAGGGAAGGAATTTACTCAGGGCACAAAGCTGGTTAGTGGGGCTGAACTGAAGCGTGGTTGTCTACTTTGTAGTGCTAAGCTTTTTATATCATAGCAAATTGCATCCTTTTGTTTAAAACAAAGCCATGTTTGGTTTAAGTAGGTTTCAAAATGATGTTGTGGGAAAAGGGTAAAGACTATCTTGTGTGTTGTATGGGACAGAAAGCAGGCTGCACAACAGGCAAGGAAAACAGTTGTGGCATGCTAGTTCATAAGAGTTCTCTGTAGAAAACTTGGAATTGCTGGGAAGCTGGCTGCTCAGATGAACCAGAATGGGAACAATGCCAGCTTGAGTTTAAAGCAGTTCAATACTCAGTTAAGATGTCATTTTTTGTTACCTTTTTCTTTTTGCCTGAAAGTATAGAAGACACAAGGCAGAAACAAGCTTTAAACTGGGAAAGACATAAATGGCAACATCTCACCTCCTTAGTAAGTTGTAAATAGGTGGTGAAGGCATGTGCTTGCTAGAGTAATGAATGGTCGACCAGACACTGCCAACAAGAGTTTTCAATATGAAGGCCCAGAACTGGCAATTTTGATGCCTTGGGCAAAGAACACTACATGGGCCTTCAATCAACTTTGTACTTCACGATTTGGCACATAGAGGGGTGTTATTAACAATGTGTACCATCTGCTAGCTTCCCATTTTAACTAATTATTCTTGCTAACTAGGTGCTAAGCTCAGTTGTTTCTATACTGCTGAAGGAATGCCTCAACCATCAGCATGTAATTAAAAATCATATTATCTTTTGAAATCAGTTATAGCACTTTTCTGCACACTTTAAGTCTGGTGTCCTGGGACCAAGTCTGAGTCACCTGCCTTAGTTCTGCATAAGACTCGAGTAGGCTTTTGACTAGGAAAGATTGAAACTAAGCTAGGAAGTGGGGGATGCTGGGCTCTATATGTGTGTGTTTGGGGATGGGAGAAGATGGTGGATTGTCCCAGAATCACCTTTACATTTTGCAGTCTCTCCTGTCCTCTGCCCCTTTCAGGCTTGTCAGCATGAAGAAAGAAAGACAGGGAATCATCGAAGATTGTTGAGAAAGGTACCTATTACCTTTCTTAGTCTTCTAAGAAAGTCTTGTTCTAAATTGTGTGATCACTGTACTATAGCAATTAAGAGTTATTTGCTCTGTGTTTTGAGAGTTACATTTTTTAAAAGAACTATCCTGGGTGGTATAAATGGTTAGGTGCTCAACTACTAACCTGAAGGTTGGTGTTTCAAACCTAGCCAGTGGTACTGCCGAAGATTATAGCCAAGAAAGCCCTCTGAGCAGTTCTACACTGTAACACATGGAGCTGAGATGAATCATAATGGACTCGATGGCAGTGAGTTTGGGTTTATCTCCAAGTGGAGAAATGGCTGATCTGGTTTCTACCCTCGAGAAGCTTTGTGGCAGACGTCAGGTGGGCCCTAGGTAGTGATAAGTACTGGACTGCTAGGTCAGTTTGAGCCGCAAAAGTAGGCAGCTCAAACACACTAGCTGTTCCTTGGAAACCCTATATAAGGTCGCTATGAGTTGGAACTGACTCGATGACACTCAACAATAACAACAATGTAGTAACCACCCTCAAGGCAGCAGCTTTCCACATTTCAAGTGTATAGAGGGGTGCACAATAGAGGGTGTCCTACTGGCAACTGGCAGAACACATCTCAAGTTGATGACATGTATTCTCAGTCTCCACAATGACACTAGTCCTACAAACTATTTAAGAGTCATGTGGAAATCATTCTTTCTAGTTCCCATTTCTTGATTCTGGATTAGGAAAATCTTGTTTGATTCCTACTAAATACCTTTGGGGCCAATCAGTTCTGGTCCCATCAGTACTGCTCTAGGTCTGTATCATAGTAACAGCTTCCTAACTAACATCCTTGGCTACAATATACCCTTCCTATCAGTTAACTGGGCCCTGGTGTGGAACTGTAGAGTAAGCACTGTACTGGTATCTGTAAGGTCAAATCCACTAGTTGCTCTTGGAAACCCGAGTTAGGGTCATGAGTCGCAACTGACTCTATGTTCCACAGCCAGTAAGCTAGTTGCCATTGAGTCAGGTCTGATTAATGGAGATCCCCCATGTATGTTAGAGTAGAACTGTTCCATAGGGTTTTCCATGACTGATTTTTAGGAAGGAGATCCCTAGGTGCCTCTCGGTGGACTTGAAACTTTAACATTTTGGTTAGCAGCTGAATATGTTAAATGTTTGCCCTATCTAGGGACTCTGTCCTTCCTACCAATGCCAAATTTTTCTTCTTTTATAACCATTTTCATCTGTTCAAAACTTCACATCTTCATTATTTCCTAAAAAGAAAGTGTAAACTCTTTTGGGAAGTTCTGGAGACCCTTCTCTCTCATCCTTCCGACCTAGCCATTTTAGCACCAGTACACCCAAGACTGTGTGCTCTGCTGAGGCCAGACAATGCTCCCCTCTTTCCTTCATTCCCTTCTCAACTGTCTTTCCTTCCTCTAAGCCCAGTCACTCCTCAAGATCTAACTCAAGTCCCCTTCCTGGGCCAGGGCTACGGGAAAGCTTAAGTGGACCTGATGGGGCCCATCCAGAGGCTGTTTATTCCCACCAAGATTTTGCTACTAAATTGCCACATGCGTTTCACTGACTGCTCACTACCTAGCCCAGGCTCCTAAATGGTTCCCTTTACCCTGGGATCAGGGTCCAAATCTCAGGTTCTGTCTAATGGTCTATGGCAATCAAGGTAATTTTCTTGGACTCACACTTGACTATTTCCAATGCACATTTGAACATTTTCCAAATGGTTCTTTAAAAATGGAATAACCTTACATTGTTTACCACAGTCTTTCCCTATTCTAAACTGTTGAGTAAGGTTTTCCATTTCTAAGATTACTCTAATCATTTCTGTATTTTTTCAATCTTGGGTAGGTTTTCCCTTCCAATTTGGGGAATACATTGTGCACTCTGAGGCTGAAGGGGGCCTTCTCTGCTGGATAATCATGTTTTCTTGTGTAGCTGAAGACTGGCGTCAAGTACTAACTCTGCCAGTAGTTTAGACACTGTCTTTGAGATTAACATCCAGGTGGGCATTTAAGACATGACCCTATGTTAACAATGAAACATCTGGTAGCCTATAGGCAGCTGAAAAGGGAAGGGCATAGGTATAGGCTGAATCACATCTTTTTCCTTACTAGCTGAGGGACCATGGGAAGTTAATCTACCTAATGAACCAGTCTTGGTAATAAGGGAGGTTGGGTTTGTTGGGTTGTTGTTAGAAAGAACTCATGAAAGGGCTTAGAACACAGTACATGGCACACTGTAGGTAGATGAAACATGGTGGGCTGACTCTTGTAGGTTCTTGGGGCTTTATTCTGTAATATGGAAAACCTCATCTATTACTGTCAAGTTGACTCTGACACATAGCCTGTAGGTCTGCCCCATAGGGTTTCTGAGGCTGTAAGCTTTATGGAAGTACACCACCACATCTTTACTCTGCAAAGGGGCTTGAGAGTTCAAACTCCCAAAATTCCGGTAGCAGATGAGCACTTAACCACTGTGGCCTGAGGGCTCCTAATTTGGAGAACAAGGGATTGTTTATTAGTTCATGGGTAGAAACATCTATTTTGTAATTGCATTTATCTTTCTCATCTGCACAACTAGATTGGAAACTACTGGAGGGGAGGGTTCCTGGTTTTTGTGTGTGCCCCAAGAGATGATGTGGGGTTGAAGCAGTCAAGCAGTTTTATGATTGCTGTAATGGGATGATTCTGGAACTTTAGGATATGCACATTCTAGAAAGGTACCCAATAAAAATGTTGCTGGCGTATGTGGGTATGCAGAATCCACTGTCATTTTATAATGAACAATTCTGGGGTAGCTTATACCAATATTATACAGAAATGCAGGGAAGGAGGGTTAGACTGGCTCCCCTCTGTCACCTCTTGGCTCTGTGCCCATATTACTGCTGCTTACCGTGGCCACCAACCGCTCCCGATCTTCTGCTTTTCCTACATGGCACACGGTGCCCGTTACGCTTAGCCCTTCCCCCTGCAGCGTGGCCACAGCCCGGTCTACGTTCTGTTGCTTCCTGCTGCTGACGATCACATGGGCCCCATCCTGGGCCAAACGCCGGGCAATGGCGAAGCCAATCCTGGGGGCAGAGAGAATAATGACTGTCAAGGCAGGGACTAGTGAAGAGATTGAAGCTCTAGAGAAAGACTACCCGAGTCTAAATTCCAGCTCTCCCTCTGTGTGACTTCTGTGCCTCTGCTTGCTTATGTGTGAAACAGGGTAAATGTATGCCATTACCCAGTCAATACCATGCAGATGGACATGCTTAGCCCATTTTTGGCACTCTTTTACTTATTTTTATTATGCTCTTGGCCCTCAGCCTAGAATCCCAGGAATTGATATCATCTCCCACAGGCCTCAGATCTCTGCAAAGGGTTTGAGCTGGACTACAGCCTCAGAAACCCTATCCGGGATTGCTATGAGTCAGAACCAATTCAACGGTACTTAACTAAAGGTTGGCGTTCCAGCCCACCTAGTGACATTGGAGAAGCAAAGCCTGGAGATGTGCTTCTGTAAAGATCAGAGTCAACAAACCGCTATGGACAGTCTATTCAGTAATACATGGGATCTCCACAAGTGGATTTGGGTGTTTTGGTTTCTACAGGCCTCATTTGGTTTCTACAGGCCCCAGTGTACAGACTGAGGACAGAGAAATGAGTTCTCTGCATGCCTAGCGATTGCTACTTCATGATTTGAAGGCGCGCCTGTCCCCAAATCTCTCCCTTACTAGTCTATCACCCTCAAAATGTTATCCTTAGCTATGTTTTTAGACATACAGGAAAGAGGGGATTTCTGTTGATAAACGTAAATATTCCCCATAGCTGGAGTTTTAGCAACTCAGTGCTCTGGCTGATTCTGATGCACAATGATCCAACAGGGCAGAGTATGACTTCTGCAAAGGGTCTTTGAGACTGCAAATTTTTATGAGTAGCTACCTTTCTCTTGAGGAGCAGCTGGTGGGTTTGAACCACCCACCTTCAGTTAGCAGCCCAATGCTTAACCCATGTCACATTTACAATTGTCATCCATTAGCATTTTTGCAGACACTAGGATTTTAGATTTGCTAAGAGCCTGAGAAACAAGCGGGGTAGTGGGTGGTGGCTGTGTGCCATGAAGTGGATTCCATCTCATAGTAATCCTGTATTGGGTTTTGTTGTTGTTAAGTGCCACTGAGTCGGTTCCGACCCATAGCGACCCTGTATAGGGTTTCCAAGGAGTGGCTGGTGAGCTTGAACCACCGACCTTGAAGTTCAAATCGACTTTGCAGTCCAGCGTGTTAACCCGCAGCGCCACACCAGGACTCCTGTATTGGGTTTGTTGTTGTTGTGAAGTGCCATCAAGTCGATTCTGACCCATAGCGACCCGAGGGTTTCTGAGGAGTAGCTGATGAGCTTGAACCAGTGGCCTTACTGTTCAAGCGGCTTTGTAGTCTGGCACATTATCCCACAGTGCCACACCAGTATTGGGTTTGTTGTTGTTGTTGTTGTTGTGAAGTGCTGTTGAGTCGGTTCTGACCTGTAGAGACCCTGTACAGGGTTTCCAAGGCTGCAAATCTTTATAGGCACAGAAAGCCTCATCTTTCTCCTGCGGAGCAGCTGATAGTTTCAAACTGCTGACTGCTGACCTTAAGGTTTGCAGCCTGATTCGTAACCAGTACGCTACCAGAGGTGTTTAGTATTGGGTTTACAAGGCTGTAAATCTTTATGGGAGCAGAAAGCCTCATTCTAACTGTTGGCCTTGCAACTAACAGCCCAACTTATAACCCACTACCCTACCAGGGCTCCTTAGAAACAAGCATTTGTTGTTGTTGCTAAATGCCTTCTTCAGTGGTTGCTAAGGTTCTGACTCACAGTGACCCTGTATAAGGTTTCCAAGGAGCAGCTGGTGGGTTTGAACTGTCGACCTAGAGGTTAGCAGTCCAGTGCTTATCCTACAGTGCCACACCAAGATTCCAGAAACAAGCATGGGGGTGAGAAATAGGTTGGGCAGTGGAGGCCAAATCCTACAGACCTCGATCTGAGTGGGAATCAACTTGACAACAACAAATGAAAATATGGACCATGGATCTAATGTGCTCCTCCTAGGTTGTCGCTGTTGTTGTTGTTAAGTGCGGTCGAGTCTGTTCTGACCCATAGCGATCCTGTACAGGGTTTCCAATGAGTAGCTGATGAGATTGAACCGCTGACCTTGAGGTTCAAACCAACTTTGCAGTTCAGCACATTAGTCCATAGGGCCACATAGCACTCCTCCTTCTAGGTAAGGAGGGGTTATCTGGGAGACCTGTGGGGGAGCTCAAATGGGGCACCTAGAAACATTTTGATACAGGCAGTGGAATAGGATTTTATGAAATCTGGGCTTTATTGCATTTCTGGTTTCTGGTCTTCCCAGACTCTAGGTGGGGCTGGTGAGCTGGGGCAACCCAGAGCACCGGGGGCTGAACAGAGTGAGGGAGTCGTGCCAGCGATAGCAGTGACACGGGTGACAGTAGAAGGGCCTAGGGCTAGGGGCTTCAGAACGAGCAGGGTGGTCCCTTTTTTCTGCCTCCGCGTGTGAGAGTAGGGCAGGGCCCTCCCGGAGGCAAGGAGCTAGTTTTAGTGGAGTCTCAGAGACTCCGGCTTTGGTCACTCACCCGTCGGTGGAGGCCGTTACTAGGGCCACCTTATTCGCGAGTGGGTGCTGGCGGGCCATTCCGGAACTGGCCTTCCGCACCGACCTCCACGCTCGGGCACAGACACTCAGGAGTAGCCCCGCCTTCTGCATGGCGCCGGCTAACCACGCCGGATTCTGCACACCCTAGGGGAGGTGACTTCGGGGCCGGACGAGAGGCAGGGCGAGGGGCGGGCCGCCTCGTCTTAGGCTCCCCGCCACTCTGGGTTGGACAGCTAGTCCTGTCAGAGTTGGTCTTAGCCCCGGGGAGCGGGCTGCGGACGCGGGCGCCCCCTGCTGCATATGCCCGCTGCGCCTGGTAGCCCTCTTCCCTCAGCCGATTTGGCCTCCTCTGGCCCCAAGTGCGAATGTATTCTCTGGAGAGTTTTCTGTAGGACCCATAACCCTGCAGGATTCCTCAGACCTCCGTATCTTCTTGGTCATGTCCACTTTTTTTGGTGGTGGGGTGGAGAGGGGCTTTGAGTTGGCTCCTTTTGCTTTCCAGAACCTAAAGACAAACTTTCTTCTCTAAGAAAGGGCACATATTCTGAGATTGTTCATGGAGGTGAGGTCTGTGTTTCCCACGGATTCCACACTCGAAGGTCTCAGGTGAGGGTGGAGGAGGCACTGCCCTTCCTTTTATTCAAGGTCTCCTCCATCTTCCACCGCCCTGGAGGGCTGATTCTGGTCTTTATGGTGATCAGCAGTCGGGGATAATGACCCTGACTCTAGCCCTTCGGTCTTACTAGAACCTGCCTTAGGAAGCTGTGTGGCACACGATCTCTTATATTCTCCACCCCAAGAATACTTTTCCCATCCGTGGACTGCGAAAGAACCTAGGAGAACTCAAGCTCTCTGCAATCACTGTGTCCCCAGGCGTTGGCTTTCGGCTGTCCTAGTTCAACAAATATTTTTGGAAGTAAAATCACTTTATAAACTGTTAACTACTAAACACATAGTAATTATTGCCACTGTATAGTAATTACTATTGCTGCTACAGGTCAGACTCTTCATCTGTAAACTGAGGATGCTGGCTAATAAATTCTCTAAGACTTCAACCTTCATTTCTGCTAAGTGTGCTGAAATGATCTCCCTCTTGGGTTTCTGGGAGAATTAATACGTCTGGATGGCTTGTGGTACATTATAGAAAGGCTTCAGTAGGTCTAAGTGCCAGCGTCTGAATTGGCATAAACCAGTGGCCTCCAAATGCCAGATTGAGAAGCAGTGTTGGTTCAAGGCAAAATTTTACTATTTTCAAGGCAAAATGAGAAGAGTAGAGACAATATCACAAGTTTCATAAAGCTAAGATAATTTAAAGGGCTTAAAAATCTCTGCGGCACTGTAGTATCAGCACCAGACTGCGAACCACAAGGACATCAGTTCAAACCCCCAGGTGCTCCTTGGGAAACCTATACAGGGTTGCTATGAGTCAGAATTGAGTCAATGGCGCTTAACAACAACAACAATTCTGAAATACGTATTTCCTACATTTTTTTTTTGTCTTTGTCTTTAAGAAAAGATGATGAAAGAAAGTGGATAGGTTTAGAAACATATTTCTTAGTCGTTGAAGTCACAAGTTTGGCAATCCTATGTAATTTGACGGGAGAGAACTCTAGTCCATGAATTCTAGTTCTGGGCACATCATTTAATAGAATTCATACTTGTTAAAGATTCATTTAGTATATGTGTAGGTCAGCTGAGCAGGTGAAAAAGAATTTCAGCACTTAAAAGGTGGGGAGGGGACTTGTGAGTTGCAAGTTATGTAACTGATTTGCATTGGATTTATACTGTATTCCTCAACTGAGAAGGTACAGTTGCAGCTCCTGTTCATGCTCGGTACTCAGCACATCCTGATGAGATAAGAGAGCTTAAGTGTCATTTTCCCCATGTTGGGGAAAGCGGACTCTTTGACTGGTGCCCCTCAGTCTGAGCCTCATGAATTATTGACAACAGAGGCTGGATAACGTCACACTCGTCCTCCTCCTTCATTGTTCAGAGCTAATGTACTGTGGGAACCCTTCCCAGGGTTCTCTATTGTATGTGGGGAGTGGGAGGAGGATGCAAGGAGTCCTGTACCAGGGGTTCTCAGAGCTTGATGAAAAGGGACAGATGTTCAGGGCATATTTGATCCCTCCTTACCTCCTCCATAGAGATTGGGAGTAGAGTTAGGGAGGCCATAGCCCAGAGAGCAAAAGTATCTGGGAAAAACATTCTTGCCTCGCAGCTTGGTGACTATCACATGACTGTTGTTTGGGTAGCCAGTTAGCCATTTGCTGTCAACTAGATTGTGACTCATGGCAATCTTTTGTGTGTCAGAACTGTGCTCTTTTCTTCTGAGGTCCTTCTGGGTGCACTAGAACCTTCAACCTTTTGTTTAGCATAGGGGTGCACTCATTTTTTGAATGTTCCAGTGACTCCATGATATGGGTAGGGTTAATATTTGGTCTCTAGCACCATTTATTTTGGGAGAGCACAAGGGACTTTGTGAACAGGAAGGCAAGAAGTGGGAGTCTCTTGCTTCCTGCTCCTCATTAGGCTGGTCTGGAGACGGTGATAAGGAATCTTTTAGGGAAATTGCATATATATATATATATA